GAGAGAGAGAGAGAAAATTAGAATTTTCTATTCGTTGAGTAGATTTATTTCATATATTTTGTTTAGCATTAAACTTTTGTATCAATTCTAATATACGATCGTATACAAGAGTTTTTGTATCAATTCCCCAAAGGAAATCTACATGATTAAAGAATTTACATGGGACTTCCTCAGTTAGAACATTTGGCAATCGTTTACTAAGTTCCAACGTATTCTGAAAATAAAAATATAAATAAAGAACATTATTACTAATGAAATGATTTAATCATATGAAAATAGATCATCTTCTATTAATGTAAATCACTGTTTTCTTTTTCATTTTGAATAAGACTCAATTAGATTGTGTGTTTTGTGTGTTATTAACAATTAATAATCATTGTTTTATTATAATTGTGTTAAATTTTGCCTTTTACTTATTCTATCAGACAATTAAAAACTAAAGAATTGTTATTACCTCTTTTGTAGTCAATACATCATTGGCAGCATAAAATAAAATTATCGGAGTTGTAATTTTTTTGACATCGTAACTTGGAGGTGTTTTCTGTTTATATCGTTTATAATTTTCAGTTATTCCATAATCATAGTTTCGAAAATTACCTATAATCGTGATATCAATTGTATAAATATGATCTATATATAAAAAATTTAGAAATATATTTGAAGGAGAAAGATATTAAATAATATACATTTTTATACATGTACATATAATTGTGAAATAATTTGCAAAAAAATGTTAATTGAAATTTCTCAATAATAATATTTTACCCTTTAACAATGGAAATTTTACTGGGATATTATATCAATTATTGCTTTATATGAAAGGAAATACTCACTCGCAAGAACATTTTGAGAATAATGATCTACTGTTTGTATAGAACCACCAGCTGGACTATGAGCAACTATCTTTGGTAATAATGTCTATAATAAAGGTAATTTATACAGACAACAAAAGAAGTATTTAATTAGAAAAAGATATTAGAAAAAAGAATAACATCATTGATACATATAATTGTGAAGAACAAATAAATTCATTAATATAAAAGCTATTTACAAACGTATTATATATTGTATTATTTATGGTATTGTGTCCTTTTATATAACTTACAATATTAAATTGCGCTGGATTGGAGAATAAATATTGCACAGTAGTGCAAATAGGCCGAATTATCGCATTATTACAAAAGACTCTTCCTGCTATAATAAAGGTTGAAGACTGTGGGGGAAGATCATATATTTTATGCTTTTCTAAAATTTCCTGGAACGTATTAAATCAACATCAAAGTATTAATTTTACGATAACATTTTCAACAGGTTACGCACAAAACTAATGACTATTTAATCTTTATGTCTTAATTATATCTTAAAAATTATCGCTTACAATGAAAGATAGATTTTGGTATTTACCTTTATTAGTGGAATAAGACTAGCAATTTCCTCTGCTGTAGGTATTTCCATAATATGATTTAGTAACTAACGCCAGCAAATAGCCATCTGCGACAGCATTGTATTCAGGTTTCGTTGACAAAAGAGCGAATAATGAAGTAGTTCCCATGGAATGACCGATATTAATATAAAATCCTTTTTGCTTTTGTATAATTAAAGATGTAATCGAACATCGCCGGCAGATCTCTTGTCCCTACCTCATGAAAACTAAAAATCAAAAATTATATATTATATTTAAAAAAATTTATTTGCTCTTCTTTTCTTTTGGCCATAACATTTACCTGTATTGCCAAAATTTGGGATCATATGTCGTCATATTTACATGCGATCTACAATATGTGTTTCCTCTTATATTTCCAATCCAGACATCATATCCTTGATCGACTAGTAAAAATGCTATAATATGATGACAAGATGATAGTGATACAAATAAGTACATATCTATATATATATATATATAATCTAAACTGATGTGTCTGATAATAGAGATTCGCGGCTGGGCAAGATCTTAGGCACCTATTTTTTTGAATTTAATTAAATAAATTGTTTTTAAACTTTATTCGATAAATTGTTCCTAAACTTTCGTTCGTAACTACGAGCCGTTTACTTACAGATGCCAAAAAACGTGGCAATTGAACGATATCATTTGAACGATAATTCAATAATATCTTAATAATAATCAGAAACTTGTACGAAATTTACATTATTGGAGAGATTAGATATATCGTCCAATTATTACATTTTTCGAATCTATAAACGGCCTGTGCGAACAAAAGTTTAGAAATGATTTATTAAATTTATTTAATTAGATTTAAAAAAATAGGCTTTCAAGAAATCTTGACCGATTATAAGTGCTCTGTAACAATCTGTTATAATAATATCCCAATATGAATGCACAATATGCAGAATATGCAAAAAATTTACGAAACTTAGAACCAATTTTTCCTGAGCGTTAATATTTTTTTCGTTATATTTTTAAAATTAGACTAATTGATGTTTTACCAATTAAATTTAAAATTCTATTCAATTCCATTTTAAATTGAAAAGTAATTAATACCATTTATTTATTTACATATACCTTAATAAAAAAGATTTTATCTTTAACAGTTTACATCAATTACATCATTAAGTTTTTATTACATAATAGTATTCGAGGTAGAAGAATTGAAAATAAAATCATTTTTATAAAAACATTACGATATAATAAAGTTTTATACCATGCACTAGTATATTATGTTAGAAATCATATCATGTGTGTTGTGTGTTACATACATGTGTTACATACATGTGTACAATAAATACATACCAAGATCTTTACCAGGACCCTGTAGTACCCAACTATCAGATGAAGTCAGCAAACCATGTTGAAGGAACACAATTTCTTTCTTGCTCTTGTTATCTAATAATGGACTTCCAGGTATTCTATGTATTTTCAAATTATAACCATCCTCTGTTGTGACATTATGCTCTTCAGCGGGATAACCATACTGTTCTACTAAACCAATCTATATAAAGGAATTGGCACATGAAACAATGGAATATCATCATTTTATTGTTATGATTTCGATTTACTTCAAATATTGTTGAAAAAAATATTTAAACAACATTTGCAAAAAAACTTTTAATATCTATAACAATGACAATTTAAGATCACCCAACATCCGGAAATAGATTAAAATAAATTGAAAATTTCTATCCATTTTAATACATTTTAGATTGAATAGCAAGCACTTTGTTTCATAGATTAAAATGGATTGATATGGTCCCCATAATCTTTTTTGGATTGACGGTATAGGAATCTGATAGTTTCAATCCCACTTCATGGACTAAAATGGATTCAAAAAATCAAGAATTTGGATTCCTCAATGACTACACGAATTCATTTTTATTCATTTCAATCCATTTCCGTTTGCTGGACAAGTTATTCAGCTTAATTTACATTTATTTTGTAATTAAAAATAAATTCATGTTAATATAAAATTTTGAACAATTTAATTACAAATAACTTCTTACTTACAAAATCCAATACTCTTATATCAATCATTCCTTCAATTTGATTAATTTTTCTTACTCTTATTAAATCAGGATTTTTAGGGAAAAGTAAATTTAAAATATTTTCTCCGAAAAACGACATGTTTTGTAAGAATTGCGATTTTCCTTCTGAAAATGTCATAATAATTACAAACGCAAGCAGAATGGATTTTATATTTGATATCACCATATCAACTTTTCTGTAATTCTAAAGTGTCAAATAGAAAAAAGCTTTGAATTGGCAATGTTGCTTCAATACTTTTTATGAGACAACTTGTTTGCGCAATCTGCAATGGAAAACATATGCGATGAATACTGATGATAATAATTCCCACACAAATATAGTCTATTATTTGAAAAAAATTTCAATTTCTTAAAAACCAATTCTCTATGTTTCTGATCAAATTAATATGAAAATAATAAAATAGTTAATATTAAAAGCCTACAATCATAAATTTAAAAATAAGAATATATATAAAATATTAGCATGTTTAAATTTTTTATTTTAAATTTTTAAATACTAACTAGTGATGTTAAAAACTCAAATTCTATACAAGTATAATTCATAATATAAGATATAGGATTTGGAAGAGACGAGACAGAGAGAGCGAGAGAGAGAGAGAGAGAGAGAGAGAGAGAGAGAGAGAGAGAGAGAGAGAGAGAGAGAGAGAGAGAGAGAGAGA